GTTTCATGGAAACAAAAGTCCTGTTTCCTCTTGACTGTCAAGTGATCCCATTGTGTTCCCTGATGTGTGACCCTCACCTCACCAGTCACTTCCCTGCAGTGTGATAAGTGTTCCTCCCTGAGCTCTTCCTTGCATCAGGTCACATGACAGCATCCCCTTGCCTACTCAGAGTATTCCCACCACTGCGGTGCTGATGGCACTAACTTGCCATTCTTGCTGCCCACATAGTTTGCATGGTAGGGGCAAGCACTGAGAACTGGATCACTGGGAAATGGTTACCCACGCACCCTGATTTGTTTTCAGTTACACAAGCTATCCTGCACAGGAAGAAGTCTGCATTCAGGACGGGGAGAGCCCCCTCTGCTTTAACACCAACGCGATATATGAGACAGAACAGAAGTTGAAGCAGGTCTATTATAAGAGTGTGAGTTGCCCACTCAGGCTATGGCAGCTTGCGGTTAGTTGCTGAGCCAAAGAGAGGGGTTCCAGGCCTAAGCAGCTATTTGTGATTTTGTGAAATCTCCTCCCTGTTGTCAGGATACTTCCCAAGTGAGAGACTTTTCCTTGTATTTTTCATATTCTCTTTGCTTCCTGTTTGGGAGCTTCTTGACAGTAATAGCTTGTTAATGTCATCTGTTAGCTGCTTTACCAGCTGATGGCTCATTGTAGAAATACTGTTGTTGGGTATCCGCATTTTGGTGGTCAGCCTGTAATAGGGTTTGTTAGCTGTTGTGCCCTTTGCCCCTCCTCTTGCACACTGAAGAATGTTTGTAGAAACTGGAGGTAGAAAAATCTCCGTCCCCATCTCCTGTCAATGCAGAATTGCTCCCTACAAGGCACTTTCTAGTGCTTTGCCCAGATTAGGGCTTCCACTGCTTTCTTCGGATGATTCTATAGGCTGGTGTATTGCACTGTCAGGGGCTGTTCCCTGATCATCAGCCTGCATTTTTCTTTTCTTAATTTCATCACATTATTCCTACTCATGCCTCCGTTTTACTCTGCTGTGCTTCTACTTGGCATGTCCAGATCAGTTTGGTGCTCCGGCAACAAAATTGTTCAGTGGCCAGCTTGCGGGAGTGGGGGGGTCGTAAGGCTTTTCCAGCACCATGCGCAACTGCAGTCTGTATTTAGAAATGCCAAAGCCATATGTGTGCAGGCCACATGCACCAGAACAGTCTGGGAAGCTGTCACAAGCAGCTGCAGGTCAAATCTCCCTCCTTGCTTTCAAGAGTCAAAACCTCACTAATTTGGCAGTCTCCTTTCCAGTATATAGGTGGCTAGAGGCCACGTATGGGAGACTGGTGTTCTGAGCTCAGAAGCCATCCTAGAGGCAGTCTGGAGCCACTTTTATGTGGATGCTGTATTGGCTGCTCATTTGGTTGAGACCAAAATATTGGTTAAAGCAAAACTCCATGAAATCATCCCTTCCATAAACTATCACAGGGCTTACAATTGTGCATGTAGGTCGCATCTTCTTAGGGCCTGCTCTCTGCCAGCAGAAGGTGCTGCGGATTATGGGGTAGAAGTGCTGGATTTGGAGAGCTCATAACTCCATTTCCACCTTCCTGCCAGAAGGATGCATAATTCTGACTCCAGGCCTTATTGGGTGTGAATAGCTCCCAGTTTATTCTTCCCTAGTCTTTATTCCTTTATCTCTTGGAGAAAAGAGAAGTTGCCATATGGTGGGTAAGAAGGAGATTTTTAGTAGCAATTGGCTGCTACACTAGCAGGAAACATTCCCTGGGATTAGCGTGTCTCATTCAGGTACCCCTCTCCACTCTGGAGCTGACTCCAGCTTCTTATTGTTATCAGCACTTAAGCAGCATGTGACTTCTCCCTGCATTGAAAACCTGTAGCCTTGTTTCCTAGGTACTGTGAATTGAAAAGCAAAGACCCAGAGTAGCTTCAGGTATGTGGAAGCCAGAGGGGTTGCAGGAAGAGGCAGCCCTGCCAGCACTTTGATAGAGTGCTTCCTGCACAGGTTAAAGCCCTCTGCCTTCTGCTCTTAATCCAAATAAGAGCCACGTTGAAAAAAGTTCAGTTAGGGTTCAGAAGTTCAGCTTTGAGTTACATCGGGATGGCTCTTGCTTGAGCTGCATATAGGGTCGCTGCTGCCCCATGTGCAAGTCATTTCCTTTAACCTAGCACATGAATGTCCTGGCTGTTAAGCAGCAGTGTCTGACTAATGGGACCTGTAGGCTCCTTCCCCAGGTGAACCCCACAACCCAGCTTCTATTTGCCACAGCAATTTGGAGTGGCCTCGGGTGTTCCAAGGACCACAGGTGACCAACTGCAGCTGTTTTCATACTTCTCATTCTTGCCAGCCCTCCCAGCAGGGTTGAAAATAGCTTTGTATGCTGCTCGCTCCCACTCCATATTGTTACATAGTGGTGATTATGACATGGGGCTGCCAGCTCCTTTTTCTCCAGGACAGGTAACCATGTCCTCCTTTGGTACCTGTGGCTAAAAGATTGTGATTAACTCTGTAGCAGAATGCTTTGCTCATCCACACTCCAAGGCACATCAACCGCTAAACTCTTCTCTGGCAGCACAGACATGGTTAAGAAAATGCAACCATGTATAGTGTAGGGGAAAGGAAAGACTGCTCTACAAGGGACCCTACTGCTTTGATACAATGGTAATGGGAAATATGGAAACTTGATTGGAATGAGATGCACAGATTATTAGCACTGTGCTTGGAATCCTGAATTAGCCTGAAAACTCCAGGTGCCAAACAAGTTCTGAGGCCCTCCCCTCTGTGTACCTTCCTGATAGACAATGAGTGCATTATAGCATCAAACAGTAGGAAAAGGGGGTCAGGCAGAGAGCAGGAAAGGGACCCTTGCAGTAGAGTAGCTGCTCTCAAGCCTCAGGGTAATGCTTGCTTTTTACCATTGTGGGATCATCAAAGTAAAAGGCAGCAAGCAAAAGAGGACAAAATTGAATTTTGGACAAAGCAAGCATTAGAAACAGTAAAAGCAAACTGCTCCAGGAAGGGAGAGCGTCCAAATGTCTGTTTCAACTAACAATGAAAAGCCCCAGCCTGCAGTCCCCAAAGGAAGCCAAAGAGCTGGAGCGGAGGACTGGATTAGACCTGCTCAAAGAGAAACAACAAAAGCTCTAAAATCAGGCCATTACTAAATCCTTTTTCCCTATGCAGATTTGGGGTGTGTGCTTCCAGTACCCACATGGAAACAGATTTCTTAAAGCCACTGGCTGTCTAAATGTACACACAGTATTGATGTGTATCTCTGACATTCACTATACATCCCTCGTCCAATGAGATCATTTGTTAACGCGGGAGCTCTTTCCCGTAAGTAGATGGTCACATGACCAAAACTGCACTTGGCACATTGCACAGCTCTTCCCTAAAACTGAAGTTCCACTCAGAGCACAGTGTAGGTAGATGGCTGCAGTTCAGATGAAATGTAAAAATAAGGACCTGTCCCATTGTGCTCATTAAAGGTCCCGTAGAACTTATCCCAAAAGAAATAGCATTAACCCCAGTTTCTGGCTCAATTCCAAACTGGTAATTGCTTTTGGTCCTGCCTGCATTTTCAGTTGAATATGGGAGTCTCCTAACAGCTGCACTAATGCACCCATATAAGATCAACCATAATAAAGGACTAACCCAGCGAATGAAAATAAACAACTTGATTCTATGATGTGCAACTCTCTCTCCCATTCTCACCCCCTTTCTGTTGTCACCTCCGTACATGTTTGTGTCTGATCTGGTTGTAAGCTCCTTGACAAAAAGCCTAAATCTCTTTATTTGCCTGTACAGGAGCTGAAAGGCAACTTTGTTTCAGTAGCAGGACTCTTTGGACACAATTTGTTTGTAAAATTCTTTGAGGTCCTTGAGGAAGTAAAGTGCTGGCAAAATGTTTGCTGTTTTTATATAGTCCCCAAGCATGTAGTAAATGCTTTGCTATACATATAAATTGCACATGGTGTCTGCCCAAAGCACTTTACATTTATATTCACACGTGATGCACGAAAGAGGCAACAAAACCTTGGGGGTGGGGTAACAGATTGGGGTCACACTATTATTCAGCAGAAATGTACAAACAACATTGTTGGGCAAAAAATTTACCAGTCTTTCACATTTTAATTTGTCCAAGTATGGTTTACATCAGAGTTTTGGTTCAGATTTTGCCTGACAAAACTTATTTCTTCAAGGACTTCTATTCACTCCTGACCAGCAGCAAAAGATTTGAAGGGCGGCAAGACTCCAGGCCTCCCAGACCTGGAATTACAGCTCCATTAGCTGACGTTGGGCATGAAATTCCATCTTGCATACAAGGCCAGATGTGAAGTTCAAATTGTAAAAGGATTAAACTGGATTTTTAAGTTGCTAGTCGTGCTTGCAATATATTTGCAGTTGTTGTCATTCCACTCCCAGCACTTTTTGCACTTTGGGTTTTGGTTTTCCTTCCCTAGCAAGTTGGAACACAGAGTTACCCAAGAACATCACAACAAGCAGGGGGAGGGGATGAGAGAGAGAGAACAAATAAATAATTGGTCAGAATCCCAGGAGCAATAGCTGCCTACCTAATGAAAATAGACTGACACTTTTGGAGACTTTCAGTTTGCATTGAGCCTGCCTTATTCAGGCTGGCCATCCTAATAAGATGGAAAGGGGGTGAGTATGACTTTAGAGTTAGCTTTTGATACAGTAAAGGAACAGGATGCTCAAATGTAGCCCAGCAGATCAGATAGACATTTTGCCAGAAGCCTGCACCTAATTTACACAGAAGGGAGCTTGTTGCAATTGCCATTGTCTTCCATACAGAGGTACAGCCTACAAGTCACAGGATGCAGTGCCGCCTTTCAGTGTTCCTCCTTGATGCTAAGGGGACCTTTGCATACTGGGCCCTTTGGTGTTCATGGCCCTTGGCTCTGTATTAAAAAGGTGGCAGTTGCCACCTCTGCATTAGCCAAAGCCTTTTCTCAGTTATCAGTCTCAAATCTGACGTGCTTTTCTGCTTCTGTTTTTACAGGTACCTTACTCGCTGGTCAGTCAGATCTGCTAAGCCCATCTGGAAGAGAGGCCCTAAGTGGTGTAGAATCCCCTTCCGTGTTGGACACCCCTTGCTGATGGATAATATCAGCTATGGGCAGAAACCTGTTTATTTAAATCACTGAAGCACAATGGAACTTGCATAGCCCATGGATCACTTCAGGCCACTCTGCCCTTCTTCAGAGTTTCTCAAGCCCCAACAATACCCTGATTCCAAACATCTCTCCTTTTAGCATTCTTCACTGCCTCCAGTGAGCAAGCAGCCATCTGCTCCTCTGGCTGCATGCAGGATTCATCATCATTGCCTTCTGTGCAGGTAGAATGAGGGCCAATGTTTGACTGTCAAAGGATTGAACCTTTGCTTCGTGATGGCCCAAGAGGTGTGTGTGGTTTTTTTTTGTTGTTGTTGTTTTGCAGCAGGAAGCTTTAGAAGTGGAGTATTTCTCAGATCTGATCTGTCACTGGTCCAAGCTCTAATACCTTTGACGCTGAAGAAAAGTCATGTGCTCCCTCCTACCTCATCAGAAGTGATGGAAATTACGTTAATCAGTGCTGAAGTGGAATATTTTTGTATCTGTAATTACTTTAGTTTGAGACACAAATTACATGGCAGTGGCTGGCAGGTGTTTGGCATGATGACTGTGTTGCTATGTGCCCATTAGGATTACTTACTGGCTCAATGTTACACCTGTTCCTGACAAATACAAAACACACTGGCATCCTTAATCACTTAGTCTGTTTTCTTCTCCTTCCATGTAAACTTGCTGAGAGCTACTCTTGTCAAGGTTGCAGCTGCTGCATGGAACAGTGTGCAGTTAGGGCTTGTGCATCATTGTCTGTCCCATGGTGTTCCTGTACAGTTCACACAGCACAGCCAGCTTTCACCTTAGCCTTCTGGAAGCAGAATTACTCCCTAAGTATGGGCCTGATGCACAAGAAAGATTAAATTTATTAGGTTTCAGTGCTGCTATGCCTCCTCCTGTCATGCCTCTAAGGCTACAGGCTCTGTGGCCCTTTTTAATTACATGTTGCACTGGTGAGTCATGTGTTAATTTTAGACAGGTCTGTGTCTTACTATCTACCAGTGAAATGGTAGAAAAGGTACAAAATAAACGGGGTAGGTTTGATGGCCTGTGTTATGTAAGAAGTCAGACTAGCTGACCATGATCATCCATTTTGGTTTTATTCTATGAAGAGGAAGCTCTAGGTTCAGGTCAGGTGGAGTGCAAGATGCCTGGATACTTGGCTTTATGGTAAATGTAAGTAGTGACTCGGGGGCTATGTCTACACTGCAGGCTTCTTGCGCAAGAACTTTTTGCGAAAGAGATCTGCCGCAAAAAGTTCTTGCACAAGAGCACATTCACGCTGCCATGTGCTTTTGTGCAAGATAGCATCCACACTGCCAGCCACAGGCTTCTTGCGCAAGAAAGCGCTGATGGCCATTCACAGAATGGCCGTCGGAGCACCTGTGCTTTTTCCAATAGGGGTTTCTTGTGTAAAAAAAAAAAAACAACCCCCTGGGCTGCATCTAGACTGGCATGATTTTGCGGAAATACTTTTAACAGAAAAGAGCATCTAGATTGGCACGGATGCTTTTGCGCAAAAAGTGCTTTTACACAAAAGCATCTGTGCCCAGAATAGACGCACTTTTGCGCAAGAAAGCTCCGATGGCCATTTTAGCCATTGGGCTTTCTTGTGCAAAAAATTAATGTGCCTGTCTATACTGGCCCTCTTGCGCAAGTATTCTTGTGCAAGAGGGCTTATCCCTGAGCGGGAGCGTCAAACTGTTTGCACAAGAAACACTGAATTCTTACATTAGAACGTCAGTGCTCTTACACAAATTCAAGCGGCCAGTGTAGACAGCTGGCAAGTTTTTGCGCAAAAGCAGATGCTTTTGCGCAAAATCTTGCCAGTCTAGATGCACCCCTGGTTTCTGTCCACACATGCCTTTTTGCACAAGAGCTCTTGCGCAAAAAGGTTTATTCCTCATAGAGGAATAACTCTTGTGCAAAAAGCCCTGTCTTCTGACAATCTACTGTACTTTTTCTTGCACAAAAATGCTCTTGTAGTGTGGATGCTCCATGGGTTTTTGCACAAAAACTCTTCCGTGTAGACATAGCCTAAGTGTGTTGAATACTGTAGGTAAAATCTGTAGCTGCGCCTCTTGGAAAATGGAGGCAAGAAATTCTGTTGCCCTATTCTATCTCTTTCCCCTCTCTTTGAAGGATCACTACTCCTGTTGCATCTACAACAAACTTACTTCTGAGACATCTTTTCTATTGCAGGCAACCCAAATCAGCTATCCATTTAACAGTGGGAGAACAGTGACTAAGTGAAACAAGCGCAGTGGTACTCCATGTGGCACCCTGAGTGTGACAACCTAAGAGCACAGCATTTACCAACATAGCAGACTGACTTTTGCACAGTTGGGTCTTTCACTTCTGCCAGCTGTGAGCAGATAGGACCTCTACTTTTAGCAAATCAGACTCCCTTCTCTCCCCAGTACCCCCCACTGAGCACAGGGTATAGAGAGGAAACTTGAGTTATGGGCCAAGCCCACAATGCAGCAGCTTTTCCTTCTGATATTAGAACAGAAGCCTTATTTTCTATTTACATTCACCTGCTACAATCAACCTTCACTCATGCTGCCTAGGAATAAGATCTGGAACACAATGCCTGAGTGGTTGGGGTGGGGGACTAGGTTTAATTCCTGGAGTGAAACCTTGGCTTTCCTGGAAGATGATGGTATGCACTATGGGCTAATCTAAGATTTGCAGTGCCAGGCTCAGAAAGGAACTCAGGCCAGAGTTTGGGGAAAAAATACACACAGTGAGGTATTAAGGAACTCCTCGAGGCTCTTTCTGGGCCACAGAAAACTGCTGGCAAGTGCAGAGGTTTCACACAGGTTTATTATAACAAACTACTACAAATCCTCAAATATATAATCTCTCTCATTGAATCTTCAGCTTGGGTGGGCAATTCACAGCATGAAGGGCAGGTCAATGTTCTTCTCACCAGTGCCAAGGTAGATATAGCCGTACTGTTTAGTCCTGGGGATGTGGTAGAATGTCAGTCCTGGCCACAGCAAGCTCCTCAGAATCACCAGGCTTCCTCCCCTCTCCAGCTGGATGCTCCAGGATCCTATAGACCAACATCAGCGCTAATGAGAAGACATCCTTCCTGCAGTGAAATGTGCTACGGTCAAGGAATGAACCCAATGGGATGCTGTGTGGCTAGAACAGGAAGGTGAATTAATGGTACACAAGGCAGAGTTAGCACAGTAGGGACTCTGCTACCTTATGTGTGTTGGGGGCTATCAAAGATCTGCCATATTAGAAGGACAAAGAACTCTGGACCCTTTCACATGATTCACCCTAGCACTGTGAACTGCCTTTTTAATTTCCAAGAATGCCTGTCTAGTTTTACTCCGCATTTTCCCTGTGGTGAGAGGTACCGGTGTGTGGTCTGGATCTAGGAGTTAGCAAATGCTATTATTGGCTATACCTCCTAAGAGGCAACAGATATTCTTAAGGAGGGCTCTTTAGCCTGTTTGGCCTCAAAAAAAATTAATGTAAAGTTGAGATTGCATGCTGTTGTGCCCTTCCAGAATGTAAAGTTCTGAAACCCAGGAAATACAGACATAAGGTACACTGCTATGCCAATTTAAACCCACATCACACACCTCCCAATCCCTGCCTCTGCCCCCTGACCTTAAACATCCTCCCCTACCACTCATTCCCGTTTTCCCCTTGGCTGTGTCTACACTGGGCCACTTATTCCGGAAAATCAGCCGCTTTTCCAGAATAAGCTGCGAGCTGTCTACACTGGCCCTTGAATTTCCGGAAAAGCAATGACGCTCTACTGTACAAAATCAGCCGCTATTCCGGAAAAGCTACGCTGCTCCCGCTCGGGCATAAGTCCTTATTCCAGAACACTGTTCCGGAAAAGGGCCAGTGTAGACAGCCCAGTAGTCTTTTCCGGAAAAAAAGCCCCGATCGCGAAAATGATGATCGGGGCTCTTTTCCGGAAAAGCGCGTCTACATTGGCCACAGATGCTTTTCCAGAAAAAGGGCTTTTCCGGAAAAGCAGCCTGCCAATGTAGATGCTCTTTTTCTGGAAATACTTATAACAAAAACTATTCTGTTTTAAGCATTTCCGGAAATTCATGCCAGTGTAGACACAGCCCTTCTGTTTTTGCAGTCTGCTTTCCCACCCTTTTGCAAACATTTCCCTGTATAATTTTTATTTTCAACAATAATTTGAATGACTTCTGAGTTTTCTGCTGTATGTGGATTACATTTCCCCAAACTAAAAAAAAAAATTCCTTTGACAGGCAGATTTGTTCAGGTTTTTGGCAAGTGTCAGATTTGAATTTGCCTCGTGCAAGACGTCCACTTGAGTCTCACAGGTCTGATGCGCTATGGCTGGCTAGCAGTTGTCTTGGGCTGTCTGTCTTCAAAGTGTAATCTGTTTGGCTCACGAGTGTTACATATATGCATATCAAGAAGCCAAACTCTTTCAAATATTTTCAGTTGTGTCCCCCCCAAAGGGTTTAATGGGTACCTTGCACTTGTCAGGATAGATAATGACTGACACCATTTTGGGCATAAATAGAGGCAAGGTTTAATCCTAGGTCTGCACACACCAAAAAAAAGTTGTTAGAATCTGACAACTTTAAAAATAGCTTTCCTTCCTCCCCTCCCGCCCCCCAGTAGGTTATTTCTTGAGACCCCCTTATGCAAATGACCACAAATGTGGATAACTGACTCTGTTCCATGACTCCGTGTAGCACATCAGATTTCAAGGTAATTCAATTAAGCCAGTCTTTAAACAGAAAGCAGTTCTCAACCTTTATACAAAGCAGCACTGGCATTCTGCGATTATTATATGGTACCTGAGCTAGCTTTATAGCTGATCTAAGGAGCCTAACTGGGAGTGGAATACTAAGCCTTGGAGTAACTTGCTTTGCCTCATCTCAGTCCCTCAAATCCAAGCCTCTAGCAGCCTTGGGAACAGGAATCCACAACTGGTAAAGAGCTAGAATCTCTTCTGAGAATGCTGTGTGGCATTAACATCGGGAAGGCAAAGAAAAACTTTCCCACTCCAAGATGGAGGATTTGCCCTGTTGTAGGTCCTGGGGGAGAGGAAAGAAGAGAAAAGTAAAAGACAAGGACACTTTTCAGAGCTGCCTCCAATCTCTGAGTGATTTATGGAAAAGGTTAATTTTCTTGTGCCCTTCTTGGCTCCACTTTTAGAGTGGGGGTGGGAGTAGGGATTAGTTTCAGTATTAATTGTGTGTTGGCTCTGCTGAGGAGGTTAGGAGCCAGTGTGAAAATGCGGTTTCTCCTGGAAGTGAGAAGCTCAGAGCCACTATTTGTTTTATATTTGACAGGATAATCTGGGAACAACCTACCAGAGAAGAGATGGCAGGAGTGCTAAATAGGATTCAGTGCTAGCGGGCAGGAACTGTCTGGAGAAGAAAATGCGGGCTGCAACACCAAATCTGCAAATACAGGCAGTCCCCGACTTAACGCGGATCCGACTTACGGCGGATCCGCACTTACAAACGGGGCTGTTCTCGCCCCGGAGCTCACGGGCGGCGGGTCGCCGCCCGTGTCCTCCGGGGTGAGAAAACCTTCTCCCGGTCTCCCTGGTCTGCTGGAGGGGTCCAGCAAAGCCGCTGGACCCCCCCAGCAGACCAGGGAGCAAATACAGGCAGTCCCCGACTTAACGCGGATCCGACTTACGGCGGATCCGCACTTACAAACGGGGCTGTTCTCGCCCCGGAGCTCACGGGCGGCGGGTCGCCGCCCGTGTCCTCCGGGGTGAGAAAACCTTCTCCCGGTCTCCCTGGTCTGCTGGAGGGGTCCAGCAAAGCCGCTGGACCCCCCCAGCAGACCAGGGACACCCGAGCAAAGCCGCTGCCTGGGCGGCTTTGCTCGTTTGCCCGGGAGCAAAGCCGCCCAGGCAGCGGGACCCCCGCCTCCTGGGCGGCTTTGCTCCTGTCCCCCTGGTCTGCTGGGGGG